GAGTTTTAGACATGGCTTGTTGTTCTTCTTCTTCTCTCTCTTAAGCGAAACCCTAACCCTAAATCCCAAAATCCCAAAATCATCAGTTTTTTTTTTAACAATGATACTTCAAAGAAGCTACATTGTACTTTTCTCTCTAGTTCTGTTCATTCCACACTTGGGTCTCGCCATGAACAACAAAACTCTTCTTCTCTTACCACATCCTGATCCAGAACTAGTCGCTCATGATGTTCATAGGTAAACTTTCAACATTTCCTGTTCCAGATCTACATTTTGTCACTTGTTTCAGATTACTCGTGTGTTCTTGTGAATCTGAGGTTGCTCTGTTTCTACAGTCTCGGTTTCTCCTCTGTTTTCTTTGTTTCCTTCTTAATCTCCGGTTAAATCGTACCGACTGTAATAAACCGGTTTAAACTGGTTCACAGGAGAGTAAATGCTTCAATATCAAGACGTCAAGCTATGGACACGACGGACCAAGCCGGTTCTGCTCCGTGCTTCACCGGTAACCCAATCGACGACTGTTGGAAATGCGACCCAAACTGGCCCAATAACCGACAAGGTCTAGCCGATTGCGGAATCGGGTTCGGACAGTATGCCTTGGGAGGCAAAGGTGGTCGGTTTTACTTCGTCACTGATTCTTCCGACGATGATGTCGTCGAACCTAAACCGGGCACTCTCAGGTACCAAAAAATCCAGACTTTGTTTCGTTAACCGACTAAACCGGACTTTATGTAAGAAAGTCTTGTGTCTTGACAAATAGACAAAAATGTGTTGTTTTTTTTATGTTGGTTTAAGTCTTTAAGACAAAGATATAATATTAGTATAGTCTTCAATAATCGTTTCTTGACCTTATTGAACACTAGATAATTATTTTGTAAGTCGTCAGTTAACAACACTATACTTAGAAAATCACATGTCGTTTATTGTTTTAACACTAAACCCTACCTATATACACTTTCATAGTTAAATTAGAATGCTACGTGATGTAATAAGATTCTCTAAGCTACGTTTAACTATTCCGCAATAACTTTTTTTCTCTCTCTCTCTTTTGTCATTTCTTAATCACATGCCCCCACACCAATCTATTACGTACGACTTTTTCAACACCACTTGTTTTTCTAGTCAAGGAAATTTCCAAATAACCCCTTCATTTTGTGGTGAAACACCAAACTACCCTAAATTTAAAAATTCCGACAAATAAAACATTTGAGATTTTTG